CGGTTCGCCACGATGGTAAGCGCTATTGTGGACCCACTTGAAGTACCCTTATTTACATCCGCACAGGTACATCCAACGCGGTAACAACGTCGAAAAGGCCCGCAGAGCGCTGCGCAGAGTTCGAGCAACCGAGGACGAGGTTGAAGACGAGTTGCTCAGAATCCGTGAGGCCATCGAGTACGAAAAGGAAGCTATCTCTGGCACTTACGCCGCGCTGTGGAAGGACAAGTCCCTCCGCAAGCGCATGTACTTGGCTCTTGTCATCAACGCCGGACAGCAAGTCAGTGGACAGGGTACCTTGAACACGTACTCCACGAAAATTTACGAGAAGGTTTTCAAGAGCGCTAACCAAATCGCGCTTATCAACGCACTCAATGCCACCTTTGGAATCATCTTCACTCTGAACGCCATCTGGATCATCGATCGATTCGGACGCAAGTTCCTCCTGATCGTTGGTGGCATTGGTATGGGCATTTGCATGATCATTGTCGCAGCCGTTGAAACAGAAACACCATCACCGGGTGGGGCAAAGACAGAATCAGTCGGCATATCGATCGTGTTCTTACTATTCTTATTCATCTTCTTCTGTGAGTCCCACTGATAACTCCATCCATAGGACCCCCTACTAATTATCTTAAGACAAACCCTCCTGGGGCGCTACCATCTGGATTTGGACATCCGAGGTCTTCTCCATGAACGTCCGCGCCCAAGCCGTGGGTATGGCAACTCAGACTCAAAACGTGGCCAACGCCATCGTGCAGCAGTTCTTCCCAACCTTCCTTAACAACTGCGGCTTCTACGCCTTCTACATGTTCGCGGGCATCTGCTTCCTCCTCGCTCTATTTGTGTTCTTCTTCGTCCCCGAGACCAAGCAGGTGCCGCTGGAGGAGATTGATGCCCTCTTCGGCGGAGCCAACCACGTCACACAGGGTGAAGACCTCTTCTCTAACGAGAAGCAAATGCGCGTGACGCACCAGGATACGGGGATGGAGAAGCCCAGTGCTGTTACGGTCGAGGATGCACGACGTTAATTGATCGAAGTATTGTGTGATTTACGATAATGATGTAAGCCATGTGGCATTGGCGGACTATGTGAGCAATTCAACTTAGGGTCAATCCTATATACCCTTACTCTTCTTCACCTATACCGTACACACCAAACGCCTCTACTAGATAGTAGTATATAAGCGTAAGGAAATAACCAAACAGCTCACCTCCTATAAACCGTCCTCGTAATCAACCCCCCACCCTCAACACCACCACCACCACCTTCCCCAACCACATTCTCCCTCACCACACACTCCCACTCCACAACAGATACCCCCTCCATCCTAAACACATACTCATACTTCGGATCCCTCTCCTTCTCCCGATCCATGGGTCTCGCCCCCGCCGCAGCCCGAACCACATACCTTGACCCCTCCACCCCTTTACCATCATCATCATCATCATCATCATCATCATCATCAACAGAGCCCACTATCCGCTCCGCCAACCCCACAAACACCCCATGCGAGAACTTCCCCGCGTGAAACAGATCAACATCCACATTCCAAATGAGGATTTGACCGTTCTTCTTGCTCCAGGTTCCTTCTGTGAGGCGGTAGATGTAGCGTTTCTTCATCACCTCGATATTGCTGTCATTATCATTGGTATTGGTGTGATGTACCTCCTCATATACATATTCCTTCTCGTACCAGATGCTGGATGTACGACGAGGATGGAAGGTAGCTGTTCCTGTGACATGCGAGATCTGGGATGAGCGTGTTGGTGTGGGGAGCGATGACGGTGAAGGTAGGATGTGAGTGACGGTGCGCGTGTAGGTCCATCTTCCGTGGAGGGCGCGGAATATGGCCATTCCCATGCCGAGGTTGTAGTTTGTTGGGCTGGGGGTGATGGTTTGGTGGAGGGATTTGAGGGTGTTGGTGCTTTCGCGCGCGATGAGGGTGGAGAGGCGGTCTGTTGGTGGGGTGGGGGTTAGGTAGGGGGTGGGGATGTAGCGGGAGGGGAGGACGGGGCCGTGGTTTATTGTATCGTTGTGGTTGTAGGGATTGGTTTGATGATTGGTGGTGGAGGATGGGATAGGAGCTCGAGGGATGTTGAGCTCGCGGGCTAGGGTTTCCATTAGGCCTACGTAGTCGCCCATTGGGAATTGGCTGCGGGGGAGGGTTGTAGTGCGGAGGGTGCGGAGGAGGTCGCGTTCGTGGGTCTTTTGGGTGAGTTCTTCGTTGGTGAAGTAGGGCCCTGTGAAGGAGAGGTCTTTGGCCCATGTGTTTGCGAGACTGCGGGCTTGCATTTCCATTGCGCCCCAGTAGGGGCCGCGGTAGAAGCCGACGAAGCCGAGGTCGGGGATCTCGGCGTGCGAGGTGCCTTTGCCGTCCAGGATGAGTGGGATGAAGGGGTCCGTGGTGGAGTATTCGAGCGTGGAGAGGACGGGCGAGGGGAGGAAGCTGAGGGATGAGAAGGGGGTGTAGCCGGTGGCTGTTATTATGGCGGTGATGTCGGATATGGTTTCTTGGGTGCCGTTGGGTAGTGTGATGGTGAGGGTTGATGGGCTGTTGATGTTGGATACTCGGCCGATGGTGGGCTTGATGAAGCCGGAGCGCACGTATTCGGCGTAGTCGTCCCCTATGCCGATCCATGATGGGTGCGGATCTTCGCTCTCGTTGCTGGGGATTCCGAAGCTGCCGATTTTTGCGTACTCGCCGCCGAGGAGGGAGCGGAAGTATGCGTTTGTCTTGTGTATACGGTCTGTCGAAAGCGGTCCGAGTCCGTACTCGACTTCGCCGGGAGGGCGTCGGGCAAGATCGTAGAAAACGAGGTCAAGGGGGAGGAATTGCATGTTTTGCGTCTTGGTATTATCCTGAAAGCCATCATGGGGTAGGTGAGTGGGTATCGTCCAGAAGGGTCTCGAGGAGATATGATGGACTTCGTAGTCTCGTCCGGATTGGATCACTGGGGGTTTGTAGTCCATCGTAGATAGATGAAGCGCCACTGTCGAAGCAGCTTCTACTCCCGACATACTGCCTCCAATAACGACCAGCTTCCCACCCGAGGACCCAGTCCTCTCCAGCAGCCGCTGCACTTCGTCTATAGTCTGCACTTCAGAGCTGTGAACAACCCTATCAGCAACCCCAGCTAGACCAGGTATATCCGGGAAGTGAGCTTTGGCAAAGTATCCAGACGTGACGACCAGATAGTCGAACTCTTCCGATTCCACCTCAGGTCCGTCGCATTCAATGCCATTTGCATCTATGCTGTAAGCCATTAGCCACTAGCATCGTATGAGCGATGAGTAAAAGACACACCTTCTCGAAGTCCACTGCACCGTCCACCTCGCCCTCAACCCATCGGTCTCTCGAACCGTCCTCACAACCTCCTTCCCCAGCCTCAAAACCCCCTTGGGAATATACAAATTCGCATATTTCTCCAGATACTGCCCTACCTGTCTTGCCTGCGGGAACATCGACAGCTCCCCCTCCCCAATGACAGACTCCCACGCCAGATCCGAGAAAGCCACCGTGAACCGACTCAGATTCGTCCGTATCCACGGGTTGAGCCGTCGCTCAGCGCCATGGTCAATCGCCGTGGGCCAGAGACCACCAATTCGGCTGTTTTTCTCGAAGACGCTGGGAATGAAGGTGCCCTCGGGGAAGCTGTGTAGGAGGGTTTTGGCTGTTACTAGTCCCGAGGGGCCGGCGCCTGTAGTGGGGTGTTAATAGATGGCTTTAGTTTGGTGGCGGGGTGTACAACTTGCCGATGATGGCGACTTTCTTGGGTTGGACCATTATATGTACAGATTGTTGTCTTGGTCCCAGACTTGGTGGTGCAATGTAGGAAGAATGATGGTGTGGAGTTGTTCAGTTGAGCTGGGCGGTTAGATGTTCCCTTTCTTTCTTTCCCCTCGGCTTCTTAGCTACTAGTTTACCCCTCATCTTATCACCGCGCGGCTGGGGAATGAACCCCTGCTCGCTACTATTAGCGTTAGAATATGCAGGGGCATGGAGGGGCAGCTGTAGTTATTGGTACTGTTTATTAGTATATTTTATCGTGTGGCAGTGATCAGGTTGTGGGTTGGTTTGTCGGTGATATACTATATGTTCTTGTAACATTGTGATGCTTATAGATGTGCATACTAGTATGGGACCTTAATGTATGCTCGTGCAGTAGTGGACGCATTATTAGATTAGTGGCAATTTCAGTGCCACAAGCCTCGTATGTGATTATCACCCCCTGTCAAGGAAACCAACCAAAAATATTATAACATTCTAGCAACAAACGAAAGTATACCTCTAAGATAAGCACTCCATCACCCCAAGCACCATGCTATACAGACAAACCCGAGCAACAATCGGGTGGAAGCAACCGATGAACCAACCGCCCATTAAACCGTAAATCCGCAAAAAAAAAAAAAAAAAAAAAAAAAAAAGGGCGCCTCTGAACAGAACTGCTCAAGTAAAAGAAGAATTCAACCATCCTCATCATCATCATAGCAAAGGAGTCAAACTGGAGAAAAACAAAAAGTGAAACGGCCCGAGCCGCGGATCGAACGCGGGACCTCTCGCAGATATGCTTGGGTTTGTATCCCTAAGCGAGAATCATACCACTAGACCACCCGGGCGTTGCTTGTTGAAACATGGTTTCTTATTTTGCTTTACGAGAGGAAGCAAAGCGCACGCTTACTATGTCCAAGTGTCTCGCCTCTAGCGCCGACACCTGCATGCATGGCTGCGTCGTCGAGTGGATCAACCGTTATGCCAAGCACAAACCCTCAAGCCGAGTGAACAACTATTTCCATATGTACCGGTCGGACAGAGTGCTGAGACAGTCGACTGAACAAGTCTTCACAAACTAGATCCCTTGACGCTGAGTCTCAGAGTATTCATTCAATGATGTGAGAAGATGCGGGAGGGTAAGTGCGCAAGGAAGCATCGGTGTTCGATGTATTCCCCGCAGAAGGAGGCGCAGGAAGAGGAGGAGGTACGTAAGGATGGCGCGTCTCAGTAGGACAGTCGCTCAAGCCATGCAGAGATCTGCAACTCTCTGCTATGTTTGTCGGGAAAACAAGCATCGGTGAACAGCTGCTCTGTGACCAGAGCATCGACATTCCTCTCAGTCAAGGGGATCTTGTACCGGTTCTTTTGCCTGAGGAGTTCTCGCTCAGCACGTGCAGACGGCGACAGTTTCTGGAGGGTACTGCGAAGACGTCGCATGCCTCGACCTGGAAAATGTGGGATTCGGGGCGGTCCGAAAGGCGTATCGACTTTCCACGGATCCTCAGAAACGATGGAACGGGCGTTTTTCTTTCGCTGCAAGGACCGAAACTTGTTGGACATGGTAATATTTCAAAGCCGCCAAAGGGTGATAGTATTGTTGGTGCCATCAAATGACGGGTGGTGCGTGAGTGTGCGAGGAGGGGCAGGAATGGGGTAGGGGAGAGAGGCTGTGGCGTAAAGAGGGAATATATAGTTTGCAGCCCGACTTAGGACTATGAAGGCCCACGGGAAAGGGTCACCGGGCGGGGCAGACGTGGATAGCGCGGCACCGCAGTGCGGGGGCACCCGTGGAGTGCACTAACTTGCACTAGTCTGAGCCTGTCTGAACGTGAATGAGGGCTGCCTTTTTTGCGCTTTTCTTTTTGCCTTGCCTCGACAATAGTCCTCCACGGGATTTACCAGAGACTCCGGGAGAGCGCCACTGCAATGATCTACAACTCCTCAGGCAGATTGAAAATCAGCCCAAATGAAATCTCACACTATTGTTATACTCCACCCAGTTCCTTTGCAGAGACACCGCCAAAAGAAAGAGAAAGCCAAAAAGTTAGTCCGAGCAACGTCATAAGAAAACTTGGCTAGTTTTCACCCGACCAAGTGTTATCCCACCCAAAGTGGAGGGTGGATCTGCCACTTGTAGATCTTCTCCCACATCGCGCCCTAAACCCAAGCACATCCACAGAGCCAAGGGTTAGTCTGCATTGCCTTTCATCTTGGCCATAGAGGCAGTGCGAACATCCTTTACTACGTGTATGAGCCCTCCCCTCCAAAAAAAAAAAGTAGTGCCTATCTGTGAAAATGTGCCGTACCTACACTAGCTGCTTCACTTTTATGTTTGCATGTACCATGCCATGCACATAATATTCCGCTGTCATTGACTGCCTCACAGATTGCTGTTGATGAATATTACTCCTACCCTCTCTCCCCTCCCTTTTACCCCTAGATACTATCTACTACTCCGCACCAGAAAATCCTTCAGGATTCATGCATGTCTTGGGGCTTGGCAAAAAGCGAGTCTGCTTGAACTACATTCGCCTCCAAATGCTTGTGTAGTGGAACGGGCGCGCCCTCCTCCAAGAAGCGGGGGGATGGGAAGAGGCTCGCGTCCACTAGTGAGCAGAAGCGAAGCGAAAGCTTCGATGTGATTCCGCGGAGTATCTATTCCCCTTCTCTGTTCAGTAGAAAGTTGGTACTTAGTTGCTATGGTGTGGATGACACTTAAAAAGCAAATACAAGCGTTCTTCAACTGTAATCATCTTCATCATCACACCAATCGCCTCGTCCTGCCAAACTGCTCTCTGCACCACCGCCACCACATTCCAATAACCCCCGACACCCAGAAGAGCATTGATCAAGGTGGGAAATGGAATGCGCCTAGAAGCACCAAAGAAGCCGAAATTCCAGTTGCGTGCGGGGTAAGAACCTAACATCGGTAGCCGCATCTAGACACGAAACTATTACACGCATCCACCCAGTTTAGGAAAAAGCCGAGAAATGGCCGTACGTAAAGTACACATCCCATCGGTCTTTGGTGGAGATGTCGGATATGCGGCACATTTTGGACTAAATCGTCGGAATTGCCATTGCCACTACCGCATTCTCTTTTCTATAGCAAATGCTGTTAAATAATGTTGGTTAAGTGATTGTGAAGGATTAGGATTCTAGATGGTGCGCTAGATACAAAGTCGAGACTTGGGATCGTCGCGCTGATTGGCTTTCCATCATGAGAGTCGGCCGCGAGAGAGGGGAGGAAAGAAACAAAAAGTACGACAGTGTTGCTTGGCTCGTGCTTGGCTGGTCTGGGCTTCAAGTGTCATCGTAAATAGGAGCTGTGGGTGTAGTAAGCAGATGGACTGTCTTGGGGAAGTAGGTTAAACTTTATTAGGACGACCGTATAGGCGGGGAGGAGACAGCGTTTGGCGTCGCATTGTTGTCTTTCATGGCTTTGGTCAGGAGTTTCTCATGTTATTAGAGAGGAATGTGGGTTGGAATGCTATCGTGGGCTCAGTTGATAACCTCAGCGCGTGATCTTCTAGTAAGATTATTGATAAGTTCTGTGAACAATAATAGACTCTTCTAGATTCTATCTGACATGGCAGACTTGCAGACAATCCTCCCATAATACATTGCCAGACAAATCTAAATGGGCTTATTTTACGCTCAAAGCATAACCCTAACCGTTAACTCACATTGGACCAGCCTGCCTACCTGAAACGATGACCTGAAGTGCCCAGAATAAGAACGAAACGCAAAAACCAACAGCACCGGGCCAAACCGTTCATTACCAGTTCATGATATCAAAATTCCGCACGCCAATTGATCCCCGTACCTTACAAAGGAGACATCATGAGTGACTGTGAAAAAGGTGGAAAGAGGGAGCCGGCCACCATGACCCCTAGGAGATAAGCAAGTCTTTAACGCTCATCCCGATCTTCCTTTGTGGGTCCTGGGTGTGGGGATCCTCATGCCGGGTAGTGGAATTGGTGGACACGTCGTGGACCGAGCCGACAGATCCCCGGCAGTCCCGGTTCAGCATTAGTAGGGCAGCGGAGGCTTCGTGGTCCACATCGGCGGAAGACGCTATGGAATACCTAGGCTGGATCACTGGGGAGGTGCTGGAAGAAGACATAGCCCAGGAGCCACGCTCAGAACGCGACGGATTGTCGGATGGGTGGGTTGGGCCCAGTGCCGGGCTTGGTGTGATGGACGAAAAATTGGGTGCATTCCCGGTAGGACCACCGCTTCGGGGAGAAAACGCCGGGGAGATTGCATCCGTGGCAGCATCGGTGGGAGGTAATTCCGGAGACACGGAAGCCGATGAAAGGCCCGACTCTTCTGCCAGAGCTTCCGGAGACGTTGGTGAAGGAGGGGCAGGAGGCATTCGCGGCGAGGTAATTGTGTGTCGATTACCGGCAGTTTTCAGATCGAGTATACATTGTTCCAGGTAATTGACGTAATCAATACTTGCCTAGGTCATCGGGTACGGTTAGCGACCGGCTTAAGGACAGGGGTCGTCGAAGACTGAGGTTGAGACAAACCTGTAAAATGGCGAGTTTGTGCATGTCCTGTCCTTTGCACGCCGGGATCATGTCTTTCAGGGTTCCAAATTCTTCATTCATTTTGGACCTCCGCCTCCGTTCGATCAAACTGTGAGCTGTCTTCCTAGCAATCTTTCGGCCCGCTGCACTAGTTGCGCTGGGTTGTTTCTTCTTGGAATTGGTCGAGGCACCATTGTTTGCTGGCGTTTTGCCATTCTCTTTTGTGGATGCTTTGTTGGCTGCTGCGGTCGGCTTTGGCGGACTTTGCGTCTTGGGCTTCATCTGAATGATTTTGCGAGTGCGTGTGGGGGGTGGTGGAAGGTTAAAGTCTTCGAGAGGTCTCTTGACACCAGTCTGACGCGGGGAATTTGCCATGAGACCCAGTGCAGGATTCGGCGATGCTGGAGACGCTGGAAAGGAAGCGGATGGATCCGACTTGGATGGCCTTCTGCTAGCAGCTTGCATCTTGGATGGACTAATGGCAGCTGGAGGCAATGCGAATGGATCTGAAGCGTCCACCGATGCATTGTCCTTGACTATGAACTCCCCCGACATGGCAGGGGTTGGTGGTAGACGAGAGCGTGACATGGCCTTTGTGGAAGTGAAACGCTCAAAGTCAACCCGATGATTACTCTTCCATTAGACGGGCTAATAGGGTGGATGGTCAAGTCAAAAAAAGTAAGATTGGACCAATGGTAGAGCAAAGTTGGATAACAACCCGTTGAGTGTCGTACAATCGTAAGCCGTCAAAGATGAAGAAGATAGGGGAAGTGGGATAGGATAGGACAAGAGAGGAAGAGAGGAGAGGCAAAGGGAAGAGGCAGTTGGACGGGCAAGAAGCAGAAATGGTTATTGAATCTAGGAAAAAGCAATATGACCGGAAGTGAACAGCTGGTGCTGGAGAGTTGGGGCTCCTGCACAAAGGAAGACGCACGGATAAACGCCCTGCCAAAGTGTTGGTACCTGGGTTAAGTTTATATGAATGGATAGGGAGGGGAGAGGCGACACAACGAGGCAATAGTAGACCGGAGGTAATAGGTCGGAGGAAAGTGGGATTGCGATAAGAAACAGGTACTTCTACGGTGTAGTGACTAAAAGTAGTGGTTACTTTTTTCCCAAATTCTAATCGGGATGATCGACGAGGGAGAGGGGGGGGGGGATTGGCGTTGAATTCTGGATTTTCGGGAAGCTTGCTCATTACCTATCTAGTAGTTTGCTGCTTGCTGCAGCCAGCATGCGCATACACCTCTTTCACTACCACCTTAGTAGAGTTGAGACCCGAGTACTAGGAATACTAGTAGTATAACCGTGGATGGTGGGACTGGCCATCCCGAAGCGGAGGACCATTCCAAGTGTCGCGTGCTTAAAGAAGCCCACGCGGTAGATTGCTGGCCCGTCATTGGCCCAACAGCACCGCCGGATGGGGGACACGAGACCGGTTGCCTGGGGCCAAACCGCCGACGCTTTTGGGGCTCGTGCTTCGGTCCAGAGTTCTTATGGGTTGTACGAAGCTGCCGGCTCATGTCCCTTACTTTTCGAGTCCTCTCTTCCCATACTACCAGGTACCTAACTCAAGGTACTCCTCCTAACAAGTCTACTGTGGACTACTCACTTTGTGGTCTATCTAGTCTAAATGCATACTACTACTATGCCCCCCTTCATGGATTCGGAAATCCCCACAAGCCACGGGTGCCGGAGTGATACCTCCTAGGTACTACTAGATACCAAGCTGCTCCCAATTCTGACCTGCACTTGCCGATTTACTAAAGATGGGGTTCAGATCCCCTACTCCTTTAAGCCTGACTACAATCTAGATAAAATTGCGGAATGGACCACGCTCACGTACACGACACCCTAATTGGTGCCGTTAAAGAGCGCAGAGGGCTTGCGTCGCCACCGAGCTGACCCCGGATCCTTTTCGATTGATACCAGTCTCATAACTTCCCGAAATGTCTCTCAATCTTCAAGCAATGCTCGGGTTCCTCAATGTGACAGAACCCAGGCAGGTAAAGCGAGGGGAAGAGGGCAAAGGGAAATACCAGTCACACCATGAATCCTCATCGACTTCACTCACTATCGTCAGGAATCGAAGGTGTCCATAAAGTGGATCTGTCTAACATCCCAGACCCGCAAAGCCTGAGAATACGTCTCGGGACTCAAATGGTCATGATCTCACCTCGGCCGCTGGTTGAAGCCTGGCGACGTTCTCGTCCAGAGGGGGCATTGGAGCACGTGCAAGCCGTCCTCCCAACCAGTGGACCCTCCTGCCACACGGGGTCGCATGTGCATGTCGGCCTCTCTCTGGTCCTTTCCCCTTTGGTATTCGGACAGACAGGTCCTCTCTGCTGCCCGGGAATTCTCCGCATCATACTCGTTATGCTCAGGTAGGCCAAGCGCCCGAGACACGCCCCAGTTGCTCCATCGTTACCAACTTGCCGTCTTCTCCTTTGGCCGCCGTGCCAGCTCATTCACCATCGTTATCATCCTCGCATACCTTTAATTACCTCTTGCAAATTCTCAAATCCTAATAGCGGGGCAGAACTACCACATGGAAGCACATGCCCCGCAATGCACCTGTAGTAGTTTCTGCATGGACTGTCGCTTGTCACGGTAAGCCAATGCTCTCTGTTGCTATTCGATTGGCTATGGCCAATCGTATCTATCGGAAAATGCGATGCTCTCCGTGCCGCATATTTCTCCCCCCGAATTATGTGCTGCTTCGTAATTGAAATGGGATGATCCGAAGCGGTTTGGTACAACTAGACGGCCGCTTGGTGCAACAGCTGAGGTAACACCCCACTACGCGGTTGTTTCTTGGCTAGCTACTGGTATACGTGGAGATACTTGATCACACGTGGAGTGAATAGTTAACTCTGGAATATCCTGGTGCGTACTGGCTGGTACCAGACAGGACAGTCCGTCACGTTGGCTTACACCCCAACAGCTCTGAATTCCAACAGACTAATGCTCGTAACAGGATATATTTCCGCTTGACTGATATGATAGTAATCGGACATCGACGGGGCCGGAAGCTGACAGATTGCCTATTCACAATGCACCCCAGTGGTGACTGGGTGGTGCAGTCCTAGTCTACTCGGCACTACCTCAAGTGAACAGTCTCTGAAGAAGCACCTCACCAAAGGTGTCTTCCACCGGAGAGCCATCCATTCTCCACACGCGGTTACCAGCCCTCAGGCTTAACCACAGGCCGTGATCACTTGCGCTCTCCTCATCGGCCTCGATGCGGTGCCGGTTCCGTCGGTCGACAACGCACAAGCCCCGCGTCCACTGACCAGTAGTCTCAATGCGAATGTCTTCTGGTGACGTCGCTGAAGGTTTCCACCCGTCATCTTCGGCGGTCATAGCATACCAGACACATACGGGGTCGTGCAGACTAAGGTCCGCGGCATCGCCCACGTGCCCCGGATGCAGTCTCTCAAGTGTACGGAAGGTATGAGCCATAAAGGCAGACACCCATTCAGCCAAAGGCGATCCACTCTCCAGAAGCGGCGTGATTATTTGCCGGAACTGGCCTTGCGTCACACCATGCCTCAGCGTAATATCGAGGGGAAATGTGCGAAGAGTGAGCTGTTTGCTAAGGCTCGGAGGATATTCGGGGAGACTCGTTGCGGGCGGCAGAGTACTTCTGGGAGAAGGGGACGTGAGAGCATAGACTCTTGCTGCCGCAACAGCGTCAGCGTATGTGTTGAACTCTGCAGCTGGGGTAACCTAGAAGATGTCAGCATCCCATGACTCTTTTCATCCCCAAACGGGGTAGGGTTCAGGCCAACGCGCACGTTTCCAGGTTTGTTGATTGCTCCTCCCATCACCACTACCTCTTTGACGCGGAGGAAAGTTTCCGGGTCAGCAGCAGATGCCAATGCAAGATTAGTAAGGGGACCGACTGCCACGAGAGTGACGGTGTCAGGATCATTTTCCCTCAAGACACGGAGAATCTCCTCGTGTGCGGGACGCCTGGAAGGAATGAATGAGCGATGAGCTGGATCTCCCTCCGGAACGGGTTTGATCTCGCGGGAATCAGAGGAAGGGTCGAAGAGATGCTCCCAAGCTTCTTTGGGGGTGAGGTGGGGATGCTGAGAATTCGTGTGTTAGCAGTCTTGCAAGTTTTGTAGTTTGTAGTTCTGCGTGCTTCACGTACACTGGCATGAATACCCCCCAAGCCGTCCGTACCGTCTAGAGAAGGGTTAGCATGGCGGGCTTGATTAGCAAGACTTGCCATTTGCGAAACTCACGGAAGTAATCTGCAAGCATCTTTTGGTCCTCCAAAGGATCCTCTGCACCCACAGCAACGATTGGAGGAGAAGCGCGAAGAGTACCAAAACCTTCTGGCCGACCTTGCTCTCGACGCCATTTCATCTCCCGCTCCAGGATGTGGAACATGGAGACAACATTGCGCAGGCAGCTATCTGAGTGAGTATAGGGCCGTACTATCGAGCGACGGACGGCGCAAGCTCACCTTTTCACCTCGATGTTACCAAAAGTAAGCGATATTAGCAGAATCTCAACATCCTCAGGCTCGGCAGAAAATGCCAAAAGAAGGGCAAGAATGTCATCAATACCCTGTTTGGACTATCAGCACAGGTTGTAACTAGCAAACATTCTGAAGCAGAAGTGGAGCTCGGATGGTGATCATTGAACGAAGTGATGAACATACGGGATCAGTATCGATGATGATCTTTTTCGGTGCCATTGCTACAGCTTCAGCTCGCGTGCCGAATTTGCCACTATCCAATCAAAGTATATTGGTTTTGTGGTACAAACCGAGTTGGTTTTTGCTGGAGAATTTGCAATGACGCGGGTTTCGGGCGATGGGGGGGGGAAAGTGGGATGGTCTTGGCCGGCGTTATCATGGTTGATCCACTTCCAGCTATCTGTCCGAGTCCCCGAGCAGCAACTGAATACTACTAGTTAAGTAGACTCACGGACGAATATGCTATTAGTCATGCCGACAGTCCAAGATAACTACTAACTAGTAGCTATCTAGATAGTTGACTATCTAAACTACATACTGAGCGATCGAAAGAATTAAACGCTTCCTGCATTGCTCTACCATACTGTGAAGCTGACTTGGGGTAAGAGTATATGACTAGTTCTCACAATAGACATGAGGATGCACGTCGGTCGAAGTTATTATCCCCGAAGCATGGGGAGTTGCATGAATACCTACAGGGCTAGCAGCATCAAGCCAGTCTTCTTTAGAGCTTCTCTTCTCCGAGAGAGGGTCGGACATTGGAACAGATTCAGGAGTTCGTAGCGAGCTCGGATCATCTGCCCTCCCAGCATTGATGTCAGCAGGCACAATGCGTGTGTAAGTAACTATCACAGCACATCGATATCCTAGACTGTGACAGCCAATCATTCGCTCTTCCGTGTCTTTTAATCAAATGGCTTTGTTTGGGGTTACATTTTCAATGGGCCTCATGGTTACTCTGCAAGGGGTCTAGAGCGTTGTATGTTATGCCTTAATGCTCCTGCTTCTGATCTGTTCTATATGATCCATAAATCTGCATTATTCAATAATATGAAATAAATCATAAAGCGGACAACAAGAATATGCTACAGGTAATTATTATCTCCCATCCTCTATGATAGATACTCTTTCTCTCCAAATCAAGCTGCTCTGAGCACAACGGAAGGACCTCCGGGAGAGGCCTGAGCGAGAAACCCGAGACGTGGCCTGTTCGGGAGCCGGTATTACCCCCGTAACATTACTGTGAGGTACACACCCGTTACTTGTGCCTGTCATAGTGTAACTGGTAACTGCCGATTCTCCCGGAATCAAGGTTGTTCTTGCAGGCTAGTCTAAACACTTTTGTTTGGTGATTCGATTGCTCTGCCACCTGGTGGACTATTTGCAAACCTATCAGCAACTACCGCTTGAGCTAGTTGCCGGGGGTCATGGAATCTTTCATTCGAGGACGGAATCTTCCGTCGACTCGTCTAGACGCCCGTCGAACAGGGGAAAAGACATGACATTGCAGCATGGCAATGGTCGAACCAGCTTTGAGAGTTGTGGAAGATCTTCCCCCGCGTAATCTCCCTGCTGGGATAGTGTCCTCCACCCGATTCAATTCAAGAATACACACCTACATTGAGTCTAATAACGGTTAGTTTATTGACGTTAATATCAAACTGGTTGGCCTTTGCTGTTCTCCTTAGTGTGAATGGTCAGTGAGGCCTCACGCACGGCACACTGTCTGTGGTGTAATATTTGTTTTGGAGTGACAAAAGGCACAAAGACCACCTTAGTCCA